CTTTCTAAAAGAACTGTTATACTTGTATGTGACGAAATCAAGCACCTCTTGCCATCATATAATACAAGAAGAAACCATCCTATATCGCCTCTATTGCAGTTATTGATCACTTTACGTTTTTATGCCACTGGAAACTTTTATCACGAAGTGGGAGATCTGACTTCAACATCGAAATCAAGCGTATGTAGGATAATTAAAACTGTATCTAAAGCTTTGGGGAGCCTTTCAAAAAAGTACATCGCATTTCCATCGACCATGCTGGAATATAGAAAAGTCATTAAAAAATTTTATGATATTGCTAAGTTTCCAGGTGTTATAGGTGCTATAGATTGTACTCATATTCCAATTTCATCTCCTGGAACAAATGCAGAATTATTTAGAAATAGGAAAGGTTATTTTTCAATCAATACCCAGGTATGTTAAATTTTATATTATTCTTTATCAGTGTTTACATGAATAAATTCTGTATGTATTTAAATTTTAATAAATATAAATATTGCATCTTTCATTCAATTAATATTTTTAGGTAGTCAGTGATGCTAATTTACTAATAAGAAACTTAGTAGCAAGATGGGCTGGATCAGTACATGATTCTACAATATTTAATAATTCAGAATTATGTCTGAAATTTGAGAATAGAGTTCCTCCTGTCACATGCTATCTTCTAGGAGATGGTGGCTATCCCTGTAAACCATATTTGATGACACCACTTTTAAACCCAACAACAAATACAGAAGTAAAATATAATGCTGCTCATATTAAAACTAGAAACACAGTAGAGAGACTATTTGGAATATGGAAGAGTAGGTTTCCTTGTCTAAGGTTTGGTCTTCGAACTAAACTAGAAACATCACTTGTTATTATTGTTGCTACTGGTGTTCTCCACAATATACCTGCCGCCCGCATAGCAGGTTTTTTTGTGTTTATGCCCAGTGGGTACTAAGAGAGCCTTTTTTTTTTTTAACAAACCCATTATGGGTCCGACCAAGTACACAACTGAGCGAAGGACGGAGCACGACATATCCGACCTCCCTGGAAAATTCCTGGAGATTTATCGACCCGACCGGATTCGAAGCCCAGAGCGGTAGGCTGCCACCTTGACCGCTCGGCCATCCGGCCGTCAATTTTGGTGGTTAAAGGTCGAGCAGATGGGAAGCTACAAGTGGGTCATATGTCATGTCTCGAGTTGGATCGGACTTAATAAAGATTTTACTCATATTAGCAATGACAGATTGATGGACATTGCCAATGTGATAAGTTCTGAATAGAAATCTGCGATATCAATTGTGAACCGCACAATTTTCATTTCTTTACCCGATAACTTTTTAAAAGTGAAATAAAACAAAAATATATATTTTTAATATAGTTTTGAAGTAATATGAAAACTGATAGCTTCAGACAGCTTCAAACAGAAATTGAATTTTTTTTTTTTTTTTCCAAATCAAAAATATTTGAAATTTTGCCAGATGTCGCTAAAGAAGCGCCATTTTAGACACGTGGTGTTTGTAGTAGTGTATAAAATGTAAACAAATCTTGAAAATTCATTTTTACTTAATTAAGAAGAAAAAAGAAAATTAAAATGTCTCAGACTGATTTCACCTCTCAAGATAATGCGGATTATGCTTTGGTTTGCAGCGTAGATAATGCTCGAAATATTTCTCAATTATTAAAAGCAATTCACTTCGGAGAAGTAAGTCCACTTTCTCATATTTCAGTATAAATATATTGATGTCAAATCAAGAACTAAAGTTCTATGTGTATGAAACCAAAAAATGTTAGGCTATATATTTCTATTAATGTTAAGATGATGTCTAAATATAAAATGAAAACCCTAGAAAATCATTAACAAATGAATGATAGTTAATAGTTTAAATATATACTTTTCAATTATTCATTAATAATAATTTTTTAAATTTAGACAGCAACTCTCTGTGCTAGTAAAAATGGCTTAAAAGTTACAGTAGAAGAATCAAAATGTGTTCAGGCTAATGCTTATATACAAGCAGTTCTGTTTCATGAATATAATGTTCGACAAGAAAATGTCACATTTAAAATTAATCTCAACGTCCTGTTGGTAAGTAAAAGCAAGTTATTACATTAAAAAAGTAACAGTAATTATATTTTTATTATATATAAATACCCTATATATGTTACAATTGTATATAAAAATTATAATTAATCAATAAGAATTTTTTATAATTATTTACATAAATCTAAACTAAAATTAACTTTAATTAATTATGATAGGAATGTTTGAATATATTTGGAAATAGTAATACTCCTGGTATCACAACAGCTCTGAAGATGTGTTACGGTGGTTATGGATCTTCGCTCATTCTAGCGTGAGTTATAATTTATTTTGAATCATTTATTCTTAACTATAAAATAAAGTTATTTATTACTCATTAATAATATTATTAAAATTAATTTATATTTTAGTGTTTAATTACAAATTGGCCTAAAGTTATTCCACAGGCAAAAGGCCACTTTATTATTCATTCACTTGTGTGTTCTTCAGTCATAATCTGTTCAGTTAAATGGCAGTCGCATTTAACTGAACAGATGTGATGTTTCAGGTATAAACATCATGAATATGTTCCTTTGTAGTCCACGTATTGTTCAGATAAACTATAGTCTTCAAGTGTCCTTGCAAAATCTTTAAGATTTAGTACCTAATAGTCCACTCACAAACAATCCAGTCCAATAAACACACATTTTTGATGATGAGGGAAAGTGCTTGAAACTGCAATGAGTTATATTTAACAGAAAGATAATTCATCTGTTATTAATATAATCTGTATGAAAAATTGGCATGATTATGCTTTTAAAAAAACATGAAAATTACTGATTTTTTAATTTTACAAAGGGGATATACAAAGAGCACTCACTGATTTTAATGAAAATTTAGTCACAATAAGTACTAACCAAAAGATGATTTTTCAATAAAAAATTAACTGCTAATAATGATTTATTTATGATTTTTATTTGACAAAGTTGTTATAATAGTGATTTTTAATATAAAAGTGACTAAAGCATAAAGGATGTTTGCATTGCAAACAGAATATGAACACACCTTTAGAATATTATCTCCAAAACAGTCTTTGTTCTTCAAAGAAAATAAAAATTTGACAGTTTTGTGGTACTGTGAAGACAACCTATCTTAAGCCACATGCTCTAATCTCTATTCAATTTCATAACAATTGTTATCCATACATGTGTATAATATATCTAAAAGTAAAGGTAAGGCTAAATGTCATTGTCAAAAAGAAATACAGTCGACCATCCTATAACATGGGTTCCTATAGTTCGGGTTACTATATCACGGTGAAAAAATTGCAACAGTATTCATACAAACATGCTAAAAAAAACTCCTATAATTTGGTAAAACGTCATCGCCGACTCGTGTCGCGACAGGATTGACCTACCAAAAACCATTTATTATTTACCGTTCATAAAAATTATATTTATATTAATGATGTCTCTAAAGTTCAGTGAATTTTTCGCAAAAAAAATAATTTATCGGGAAGCATGCGAGCGCCATTCGATGACAATGAGTAGTGAGCTTTTCTATAAATAGTATACAGTAAAAACTGGCCTTTGTGAGACCAGACTCTAGCTGGATAAATAATTATATGCAAAATATTCTTTAAAGTAAAAAATTAAATAAAATATGCATGTATATATTTAATATACATATTAATACATGCATATTTTATTTAATTTTTTACTTTAAAGAATATTTTGCATATAATTATTTATCCAGCCAGAATCTGGTCTCACAAAGGCCAGTTTTTACTGTATACTATTTATAGAAAAG